TTTCAATGAGCAATTGATTAGAGTCTGTGCCTCAGGAAAATTAAAATTTACTGGTTGGGCCCAGCTGTCAGGGCAGCCCCAGGAACACAATGGCTCTACAATGCCCGAGGCCATATGGAAGACTGGGGTCTGATTCCCCAGACCACCTATATGTACTGGGTCTGTGTGCGCCTGTGCCTGAGATCCTGGCTGGCTGGTAAAGGTTGTGTGGAGATTATGCCATGTGACCCTGTTGTAAAAGTTTTCCTTCCTTCCTTCCTTCCTTCCTTCCTTCCTTCCTTCCTTCCTTCCTTCCTTCCTTCCTTCCTTCCTTTCTCTCTCTCTCTCTCTCTCTCTCTCTTTCTTTCTTTCTTTCTTTCTTTCTCTTTCTCCTTTCTCTCTTCTATTTTCTCTCTCTCTCTTTCTTTTTTAAATATTTTGATTAATTTTTCTTTTGGAGACATTTTTGCTGTAGGGTGTGTATGCTCTCCAGAGATACATAGAGAGATGGAGAGAGAAGTGAGAAGTCAGCTCCCAGAGGTGTTGGCCACGATGCAACCCCTTTTCTTCCATTTCCATCTTCCATCTTTGGATTTTGGGCATGCATGCACATGCACTTGGTGTGAGTTTCAAACCACTGAACCACTGGTTTGAATTGTGGTCCACCACATGAGTCCAGCGCCTTAACCACTATGCCACCTGCTGGCTCTGAAGCTTGTCTTTCTCATGAAACAAACGAATGAATGAATAAAAAAAATAAAAGCAATTAACTGAGTTGTTGCCAAGTTGGGTTCCTTATAGGCAGAATCTACAATGATAATTCTTGTACAGGTGGTGGTAAAGTGAAGAAAATCAGTGAGGAGGTGATAAAGGCAGGACAGGGAAGGGGAATAGAATGGCACATGCTGAATATCTACCTTGCTACAGAAAAAGAGCCTAGGAGAAAACACACCAAGAGTTCAACGGTAATTGTTTCCTTGTGGCGGTGAGTTTAATTTTGTTCTTATTTTTAAAAATGTTGTTTACATTTTGAAAAATATGTGCATGCATAGCTTTTTATATCAAAAAAGAGATATGAGGAGTCTTCAGAAAGTTCATGGAAAATACATATCATCAAAAAACTATATATTCACTTAATTTTTTTTTTTTGCACCAAAGTAAACTCATACTTTAATTTCATTTTCCCCCATACTGTTTGAAGTCCCCTTGTAGCAACAGCTCTGGCCAGTACATTTGACCAGGTGGACCTAGGTTAGGATCTGGCTTTGCCATTTTCAAACATGTGACCATGGCCAGGTTACTTAGCCCATGTGGGCCTCAGATTTCTTATCTGTAAAGTGGGGTTCATGGATGTGAAGCACAACATTATGTACAGTTGTGTGTCTGTCCAGAATGTGACCCCCCCTTTTTCCCGAGGGTGCATCCTTTGCTTGCTTTGAGAATAGCTCCTGCCTTACTCCACCTGGTTCTGATGGGTAACTCTTACACCCTGATACCCACGGCAGTGAGTATATAACCTAGACTCAGATACAATCAGAATGTTCTCCAGATTTTCCCAAGTTGAAGGGCAAGTTCTTTTTCCTTGGATCATGGGTTTTAGGACTGGGGTACAGGACCTTGCATCAGTTGTTGTACCCACTGTATAAAAAAAGCTCTTTCTATGCACAACAAAGAGAGCAGAGGTGGGAGTCCTGCTGGCCAAGCCACCAGTTTCTGCTATTGTCTGTGTCTCTGCAGCACCCTTCTAGAAAACCCACTCTTTCTTCTTTTCTTTCCTTTATCTTCCTGAGCTTGTTTGAGTTGGGTTTTAGTGACTTAGAATTGATGGAGTCCACAGAAATGGTTTATTACTTGTTGAAGATAACATGTATATTATTTTCAACTGGACTGGTCTGAGGTGTATTTAATGTTGGGAAAATTCTCTTTATAAGCTAACCGATTTATAGTGATCAAATGCATAAAAAAAAAAAAGGAAAAAAAGAATTGATAGAGTCCAACTAATAGTGCAGGAACCATTGCTCAGAGTGTTGCTAATGCCACTTCCCTCACCCTCCTGCTCACCAGATCCAGCCCACTCTATTCTTCCAGCCCTCATAGATCTTCCCTTCTTTTTCACTCTCATGCTCCCTACCACACAATTTAGAACTTCCTTTGTTGTACATCACTGGCTGTCATATCATAACCAACTCTGTGATCCCCTCAACACATAGGAGATGCACACAAAAGTAAAAACAAAAATTAAAGGGACCTTAAAAATCACCAACTTAAAGAAAATGAGAGAAGAAAGGGAAATAAATGACCAAGTCTGTAAAATGGAGCAACTGAGGTCCAGGCTCATGTAATTTCTTGCTCAGATTAGAGATATGACTAGATATGAAGCTCTTCTCTCCTGATCCAACATTCTTGACTTTCTGCAATGCCTGGGCACCAAACTCCAAGACAAAGTGGAAAAAAAAAAGAGAATGATTTACATTTCAGTTGAGTTTTAGAGCTGGTCTACAAAATTCAAGATGCAAGATGTTGTTGAAGTTATGTGGGCTTTTGTTTGTTTGTTTATTTATTTACTTAGGTTTTCTAATTTAAGCCCCCATTTACTTTGTAATGGTACAATTAGAGTCACTGAAGTTCAGATGGAAAATGGGACCTATCACCTTAGACAAGATCAATTATCAAGGCGAGGCATAGGATGGCTACACGGCATCTCTAATTATCCAAACAGAACAGCTGCTACCAACCAAACCAGAGGGGATGCTCTGAGTCTTGGCTTCCTCCAGCACCTGAGCACTGACTGCTCTCCAGGCCCATAAAACCCATCATTGACTCTAAAAATCACTTTTTCCATAGAGAGAGTTCAGCGCTTAAGACTTCTTGCCTGTTGGGAAGCAGGCAGGCTTCACCTAGTGATCAAGATGACATCTGTCCCTGCCAGAGTGTTGCACTTCCTGAGATCAGCTGAAACCAGTTGCCATCAAGCCCTAGCATCTCCATCATTACTTCGCTCCTGGATCTGCTAGCACTGAGACCTGAGCTTGTAGACTCAGTTCTTCAGCATTAATGATGTCTTATACTTTCCTTCTAAATCGTGCTTTATTCTGGCCACCAAGGGAATGCTACAAAACAAAAAGATATCTACAGTCACATTTAAACTGCTTGGGGTGTGTTGTAGGAAGAAAGAAACTTGCCAAACCCTTATTTGAACCCAGAGAGGAAAAGGGTCCCATAGGCGAAAGAATGCATGGACTTTGGAATGGGCGAGGAGGCCCGGAGTCCCTCCTGTGTCATCTCAAGCAAGTCACTTAGTGGCTCTGAGCCTGTTAATCTCTTGTATGGAATAATAATATTCCAGGGAGTTTCATATTGTGCGACTGGATGATTCTTAAGTGTTGGATTTGACTGCTTTTAGGCCGTGGTCAGCGTATTTGGTGGGCATAAAGACCAAAATAACATAGTGTGTATGATATCTTTCACTGGACTGGTGTGCAGTGTGTTCATGCTGGGAAAATTCATTTTACCAGCTGTGTTGATGTATGGTGATTAAATGTATAAAATAAATTTAAAAATAAAAAAAGAAAAGGAGAAAAAAAAAAAAGAGACCAAAATAACAACTGAGTTTAGCCCAAATCATAGATCTAAGAGGTTTACAAATAATCTGAGTGCATCTCTCCACAGGCAGCCTCCCTTCGGCTTTTCTTCTAAAGCTACTGAACACACTCTCATCCTTTCCTAGCCCTTGCTCTTCTTTAATAGAAACGATGGCAGGCCCTATTATTACCTACTTAACTTCTCTTCTTGCTTGTCTTGTGACCTTTTATTAGAACCTGGCTACCAGAGAACCCTTTTCTGATCATCTTTAAGGACTCGCCAATTTCTGCACCCTCCCCTCTCTCTCCTTTCTTTGATGCTTTCCTGAGGTTCAACTACATCATTTTTAACTTTTAAGAAAAAGTTTAAGCACATATGTGTGTATAGTTGTCTATACAGCCCCACACATGCATGTTACATACATATACATGTGTGTTTATGTGTACATATATATCAGACATCTATGTGTAAGAGTCTTATACATTTTGCTCCAAAACTTGTACATATCTGCTCAGAGCTTTTTCTAAAAAGAGAAGCATAAAGCAGTTGTCCTTCTCATGTCTTTTTAAAAAACATTAATTTATTGTTATTATTTTTTAAGTTTTGCTGTAGGGCATGTATGCTCACCAGAGAGAGAGAGAAAAAAAAGGGAAAATGAGAAAGCAAGCCACCAAGACTTGAACTGCAGGATTCAAACCATGGTTGACTGTGTGAAAATCCAGCACCTAAACTACCACACCACCTACTGGTCCTGCCCCTTTCATCTCTTCCCACACCATTCTTTCTCAGAGGTAGCCAGAACTTTGAAGTTACTCTGTACTATTTTCTCCCTGGAGTTCTTCCATTCATATTTATGAATCTCTTCACATTCTAAACTACTGTTATTTGTGTTTTAAAAATTTGCATATTTGGTATCTTACTGTACAGATCAATTGTGTTTTCCAGACATATCCATTTTGATTCCTATAATCTAGCCCTTTAACTTCAGCCACTCCTTGCTTAATGACCCACCTATTTAACAACTGGGTAAATTTACTACCAGTTCTTCAGTGCAGGGTCATTAAGTGAGCTGGGCCTGCATGTGTTGTGTAACTAAAACACAGTTTTCTCTCTTCTTCTACTGAGAAATAGCTAGGCTACTTTCACTTTTTCTCTGTTATTTAAATGGAAACAATAAACACTGAATGTGTCTCCTTAGGCACGGCTACCAGAGCAGCTGCAGGCTGAACATCTTTATGTAAAATTGCTCCATTGCAAGGCACATGTATCTTCAATGTACTCACTATTCTTCAAAAGGATGGTACCAGTTTACATGCCCATTATCAGTGTAAAGGGTTCACATTTGCCACATCCTCAACAATATTTGGCATTACCAAATTTCTTGAATTTAAAAATCTATTGACTGTCAAGTTATATCCTTTTCTTTTTCAAATTTGCAGAATCCCCCACCTGGAAGATTGAAGCATGGTGGGTGCATGTGTGTGTGTGCCCAAGATCTTGGCGAGCTGGAGACCTGGAGGAAGAGGATCAAGGTATGACCAGGCACTGTGGAGTGTATGCTCTATCACAATGGAAAACAAAACTAAAACAATCTAATCCTCCAGTGTCTGGACCTGTGCTGTAGTTCCTCCTCTGAGCCCTGCCTCTTTCTGGGCAGCTCAGTACCATTACTTTTGCTTACAACCTGGTTTGATGTTTCTTTCAGTTCTGACATCTGAAGACTCTCTTTTCTTTCTTTCCAGCTCAGCTGTCTATTTTAAATAGTTATATTTGTCAGTTTTCTTTTTAAGCATTTCTTTCTTTCTTTCTTTCATAAGAGAGAAAGTGACAAGTGCCCCCGGCAAGGTCTTAACCATGATCCGCCCCAGCCCAGACCATGGGCACACACCCATACCTGGCATATACAGTGAGACCTTGGAATGCAAACTGGGACCATCCCATGAGGCTCAGCATTGCAGAGTGCTGTATCACTGCTGGACCCCGGACTGGCCCTGTCACCTCTCTTCTGTGGAGGAAAGGGGTGTTTAATGGACTCATCGGGACAGTTCTAGGGACATAATTTATGATTTTGAACACTTACATAAGAAGAAACAGGAAATTAAAATATGTACAGAATAATAACTCCATTGTAGGTTTATAGAACAAATCAATGACTTCTTCCTAATATTTATGTCACCATAAAATGTAAACTATAAATTACTGTTTTTAATTGTTATTTTTTGATTGCTTGTGAATCTATCTGTTGATTTATTCCATTTATGTTTTTCAAACTAAAGAACATCTATGGGCTCTATCAAGGAAAAACTAATTATATCCCTGTCATTCTCCATGCTTCTGCTCCCCCCCAACCCCCCGGCCTCCAAGATAGCCAGTGTTTCTAGTCTGACAAAGATTCCTTCTTGAAGTTCTCCTTGTGAGGAAATGTATACAAACATATCTACACAAAGATAGGTAGTACGTTTGTGTGTTTAACCAAAACAGAATATGCAACCTATTTTCTTTAATTAAGAAAAAAGAATTTTTTTTAGGTTTTTGTTATAGGGTATGTGACCTCACTGGAGAGAGGCAGAGAGAGAAATCACTCCCCAGGGGAGATGGCCATGCTGCAATACTTTCTCCTCTATTCTCCTCTCCAGATTTTGGGCATGTATGTATGGTGTGATTTTCAAGCTGCTGGCTTCTAGGTTTAAATTGTGGTCAGCCATCTGGTAGTACAGTGCCTCAACCACCACACCTGCTGGCCCCAATTAAGACTATTTTAACATACAGAATCCTAAGGATTATAGCTAACAGTTGTATTTTATTCCATCACTCTGCAGAATCTCACTTCACCCATTTGCTTTCCATCTTTATAAATTTAATCTTGAATTAGTTCTTCATGCCAAGTCCCTTTGAACTTGAGCCTTAGCCCTGTTTTCCAGGGTAGTCTTTTATTTACCATCCACCAAAATTCAGGTTCAAATACTGTACAAACATATAGCTCAAGAGAGAACTGAATTAGTATTTACTGTCATAGAGAATGTCTAAGGCATCATCTGCCACTACAGGGTCAACATGAGTTCACTGTACCAGGAGGCTGCAAGGTGATACTAGACCTAGAAAAGACTTCATTTGGAAGCCAGCCATGTCTCTCTAAACTGTCTGTAATTATTGTGACTGAAGACAGACCTGGGATCTATTTGTCCAAGAATCAATCTAGGACAATGATGTCCAAATTTGGTGGGACATCAAAATCATTTGAAAAACTTAAAAATACATTTTTTCCAGATCAGTGGATGGCGTAAAGGTTAACTCATTGGACTGCCATGTGGCAAACTGTGGTACTAGGCCTGGACCCTGAAGCTTGAAATTCATGTCAGGCATGTGTGTGTGGATAGCAAAAATCCTGAAAGGAGAATGGAGGAGAAGAGATTATGGCACGGCCATCTCTCCAGGGGTGGTGGTGGTGGGAGGCGGGCGGTGATTTCTCACTTTCTGTCTCTCTGTCTTTCTCTGGTGAGTGCACATGCCCTATAACAAAAATCTCTAAAAAAACAAACAAGCAAACAATGTAAGTTGTAACCAAAAACAAACTCACCTCCTTTTCCCCTCAAAATTCTTTTTCCAGGCGGAATACTTAGAGAACTGATATAATTCATCTGGTTTAGGGCCTAGACATGGGCATGAATCGAGTTCAGTGTTGAGGCCACATCGAGATGAGACAAAAGTCAGGATTGCATGCTGATACACCATTGGAGGTCAACTCTTTGAGCCCATGGCTTCTCAGCCCAGTTCTTAGAGACATCTAGATTAAGTTATGGTGTACCAAAAAGAGCTCCGGTTGTGGAGTTACAAGATCTGGGGGCTAGCCCCAGTTTGTCACTCATTTATTATGTGACCTTGAACAAGATATTTTCTTCTCTGAATCTCTGCGTTCTCATCTGTAAACATGGAGATTATGATCTGTGTTTCACACAGTGATTGTTAGGATCAAAAGATAAAATGTTCTTGCAAGTATTTTTTTTTTTTTTGTAAGTTGTAAGGCTCAATAGAAATGTTGAGCAAGAGGTTTCCTTGGATATAAATTTCTTTGTTTCTCTAACTAAGCCATTGACCTTTTCCATCATGTAGACCTGTGACTCCAGTGGACAAAATATTAAATATTATTCTGTTTTGATTTTTCTGAGATGCCTCCTTCAAAAACTCCCAAGTCCAGTTAATCAGATCAGATTTAGAAAAATGATTTAAATAATGAAAGTAATCACCCAAGTCATTTCTGGTTTCATTTGGGTTTTTTTTTCCAGGTCATTCTGGCCATGGATCATTTTCCTCAGAAATATCCCAATAATTTAATTCAAGAGAATTTTAGAATTAAATCTACATGGCTGACATAGAGCCTCTCTTCTCTCTTCTAATATAAATGAGGATTTTAAAAGAGAATTCAGGTCTTTTCAATGAGGGTCTATATGAAGGGCTATAAATATTGTATATAAACTTGCCTGTTGAAGTGGCTTAATCTCATAGTCAAACTATTTAAATATTATGAAAGAGAGTAAAACACCCATGCAAATTTAAATATTATTCTGAGAATGTTGTATTTTGACATACTATATAATTTTAACACACCAAATATATTTTAGAGTAACAATTATACTCTTCACTCAGGCATAAGATCACCTAAGTACATGTAGATATTTCTCATGAGATTGTTGCCATACCACTTGGATGATGTAATTAGGCAACACCTGGGGAGGTGGGCACTCTAAAACTGGATGTTGTCCAGCATGATCAGCCACATCTCAATTGGAAGGAAATGACCAAAAATTAGTCATTAGTCCTTTCTCTATTCATATAAAAGGAATTTCACCTTTGTCCCTATTTAGTTAGGCAAACTTTTTCCATCAGTCCATTAAAAAAATAAAAAATAGCAGAAATAGCTAGGCATAGTGGGGTGCACCTGTATTGCCAGGTACTTGGGAGGCAGAGGCAGGGAAATGGATAATTGGAGGCCTCCCTGTTTCAGAAAAAGAAAAAACAAAAACAAATAAAACCCAAACCAGTTTGTTTTTCTTCTGTCACAAATTGAGTCACAATTAAAAATTGTCCAATTAAGATCAATGGATAAAACTATCATTTCATCCTTGTCTTAAGGAACAGTCTGGTGGGGGCAGCAGGGGGTGTGGTGGTTTCGGTGCTGGATCCCCACATGATCCACTGCAGTTTGAATACTGAATGAGTGGCCTGAAAATCACAACAAACAAACAAATAAATGTATGTATGTATGTTAAAAAAAGATAGTCATTTATACAATATAAAGGAATCAGTCTCGTACTTCCTGCCTTTGTTGGTATTATGTCTCTGAATGAACAGGAACTACTGAGGAGATTTAATTTTGGCTAGTCAGTTAGCGCATGACTCTGTTTTGTCCTTAGATGAACTTCAAGGTTGTAGAAGATCTATAATTCTTTCCTCTTTGTACCATTCAGAAAACACCAGGATGCATGTGGTTTCTTTTGCTTACTACTGATTGAACATGTTCTATCAGCCAAGAAGGAAAAGAACATGTTTTATATATAGGATTTGGGTTAGGAATTTATACAGATCACCTCTATCAATCCTCACAAACTTTCTCTAAGGTAGATATTGTCATGCTCATTTTACTGATGAGGAGATTAAGGTTTAGAAATGTTACAATACTTTAGCAAAACCACTGAGCTGGAGGACCAGCACTTGGTGTAATGGCTATGTCACTGGACTCCCATGTAGTCGACCACAGTTTGAGACCCAGACCCAATGGCTTAAACTCACTCTGGGTGTGTGTGCATACTTGTCCAAGATCCTGAGATGAGAATAGAGGAGAAGGGTTGGCGGCATGGCCATCCCCCCTGGCTGGGGGTGATTTCATACTTTCTGTCTCTGTTGTCCTGTTGAACACATGCACCCTATAGCCAAAACCACTCCAAAAAAAAAAAAAAACAAAAGAAAAAAAAAAAAAACTCGCTGGGCTGATAACCAGAGGTGTGGGTATGTATGACTCCGAGGCCTGTGTTTGCCTCCTTTTTTTTTTTTTTTTTTTTTTTTGGAGAGGTTTTTGCTATAGGGCACGTGTGCTTGCCAGACAGACAGAGAGAGACATAGAGACAGAAAGCGAGAAATCACCCCCCAGGGGGGATGGTCACGCCGCAATCCCTTCTCCTCCATTCTCCTCTCCGGATCTTGGGCACGCACACACATGCACCCGGCGTGAGTTTTAAGCCACCGGGTCCGGGACACGAACCGCGGTCGACTACGTGGGAGTCCAGCAACATAGCCATTACGTTAACTGCTGGTTCCCATGTGTTTGCCTCTTGCATACATCTAGGAGAGTATATTTTCCAAACCAGAATACAGATGCTAGATTTGCATTTGGCATAATGGGTATGAAATATTTATAACTGGTACTTTCATAGCAATCCAGGAAGTGGATGAGGTGTGCTTCAGCTCTGACTGCATTTCCTAGTCTTTGCCTGTCTTAGTTAAGACTGGCTGGATCTCATAGAGGTCCCACTTATAA